AGCAGAGTTAAGAGCAATTCCTCCTTGCGTGTTTGCTCTCTGTTCACAGGAATGCCGTAAGAATGAAATGCTGCTGTCCAAGCTGAAAGCCAGTTCTTCCTGAAGAACTCCAGCTGGGGAAACTTAAAGAAGATTGTTCAGTCCATTGAATCTCTTTTGTGAGGTGACAGTTATAACTGCAATGTAGATGTATATATATATAGATATATATAAAAAATATATATACACACAGCTGTAAAAGTCTGTTTTTTCCAGTATGTGTTCAGTTTACATTCCCTCATCACGTGGCTTTATTATTCATTATTGCCTCCACTACCCAGTAAAGAGTTAACACAGTACAGCAAAACAGAAATACTGCCTAATTTTATTTATTTGGGTTTGGGTTTTTTTTTTTTTTTCCTACAGTAAGGACAGTGGGAATGTTTATTTGGGTTTTAACACTGCATTAGGTTAAAATTCTGGAATAAGTTTACATGTACTGTGTAGTATGTCTACCACCCCATAGGATGAGCACTTCAGAATGCAGTAGTTTGTTAATTTTGGCCCAGAAAAACCCTACAGAATGAGATTCTTCAAACTCACTTTACCAGCTAATAACTTCACATTATTTTAGTTTACATTCTCGCCATAGATAGGATTCCAAAGGATAACGATTAATTTCTAATGACTAAGAAAATGAAAACTTACCTTGGATAATTCCTGGTGTAAAATTATAGATCTATATTTTTATAAAGTCTAGCTGTTGTATAAATTTCTTTGAAATTTCATTTTTATATATAGAGAGTGTGCTTGTTAAATTAATAGCTCCAGGAAAAAACACCTTAATACTAGGATCACCTTGTTATCCCTGGCTGGGATGAAAATCAAAGTCTGTCACCTGTAATATAGGAAGATAAAGATTGAGACATTCTGCTCTAATGAACTGATGCTCACTTTTGAAGACAACAACCTACTTACCCTGCTGAAGATTTGCTCTTGAAAGTTCAGAAACTTTGTGGGACACTTTCTGCAACATTTTTATATCTGTATATACAGTATTTTATAATTCAAACAGTTGCTTTTTGTACTTAACACCAGGATTTTGGACTGACTTCTTAATGTACCTGACATCTTCAGGAGAAGAAAACCCATGTTCCTTTTTCCCCACTGACACTGATGACAGTGCTGTTCGATTACTTTCTATGGTAGCAAATATAAAATAAAGAATGTTTGGAATCCAGTGACATTCTGCTATTGTGTTTTTAAGGTGGAACTTGCCTTAGAAGCTTTCCCAAGCTCTTGAATTACAAGTGCATTAAAAGATGAATCGTGTCCATAGTCAAATGAGTCACTGTTTTTGTCATGTCCTGTTCCTTCGGCACAAACAGAAAGAAAACTTTCCCACTGAGCCAGCTGGAACCTTGCTCCCACACTGCTTAGGGAGGGAACAGATCTGGGCTGCTCCTCTTGCATCTATTCAAAAAGTCAGTCTGCCCAGAGCTAGCAAAAGAACAAAGGCAAAATCAGATTCCAAGTCCCTTCCAAGAAGGAAACCTGCACTGAGTGCTGCTTGCAGACTTTCTGTAGTCAGCTTTGATATTAGAAGGCATTATTTCTACATACTTTGCCCTCTATAAAAATTGTAAGGCTCTTTCTAGTTTATAAATTAAGTAACTCAACTTTGGCAGCAAGAAGACCTGCTTGGGAATTCAGCCTGTGCTGTGTTTGTGTACCATGTAACTCTAAAAAAATAATTTGAATGGGCATTTCAATTTGGGATTTATCATTTTAATCACAATTGTTTTTTAGCATCAAGCAAAATTTCCTAGGTAGGGTAAATAATGAATTTGCATGTGGAATAAAGTATGTGATTATTTGTTCAGTATAATGTTTAAGTTTATGCTTGCCTGCTACAAATACAGTAACCTCGGAAGTTCCACAAGAAATATAAAAATGTGAGATCAGTTACTCTCACTAGGAGCTTGTGATTTTTGACTAAGATATAAATCTGAGTTTTCTGAAGATTCAGTGGTTGCTCACCAAGGATAAATCAGAGTCCAGATTGTAACTCTTTGTCTGCTGTAGATGGAGCCCACGGCAGATGGGCTTTATCACTCGTGGTGTGAGGCCCGTGTGAAAAGGAGAAAGGAGGCTGGTGAGGGTGTGAAAGCAGTTCCATCAGCTCTTCCTTTCTTTCTGGCACAGGCTCCATATGTTGGGTGCCATTTCTCCTCACACCTGGGGAGGAACCAACAGCAAGGAGAATCTGCCTTAGTTCTCCATCTCAGCTGGTTGGAACTGAGACTTCCTCAGAATTTTTCTTCAGTATTGCTGGATTTCCTTGTTGAAAGAGAAAGGTCTTACCCTGAATTTATTTGGTGTTACCAGGCTTGTAAAGTAACATTTACAGGACTTGCAACAAAATTTCATTTCTTTATTAGGGTTTTTAGCATTGTCTGCTTATGCTCATCTTCCACAGCCCTTTCATTGTTGCACATTCTGGGCTCCCACAGCACAGGTGCTGCAGGATGAAACAATGCCCTTCTGCTGAGCAATAGGCTCCAGTAAGTTTTTCTAGGAGCAAATTCAGTGTCAGGAAATAAAGTTTAAAACCAGTAGTCCACTGCTTACAAGCAGAGATGATTGGTGTACTCCAAACTGGCAGCTTTAACGGGGGAAATAAATGACCATAACGTCTAAGCTGTGCCAAATGATGTCCCTTTAGAATACCTGGTTTTTATTTTGTTTTCTGTTTGGATAGTCAAGATACTGTGCCATTTATCTTAGTTCACGTGGGAGCATGCAGCAGGTTAGGCAGCAATCACTGATAGCATATTTTCTTTGCCCCACAGTAAACTGTGATTAAAAACCAGAATTTTAAATCCTGAATCTGTGCTGTTGCTCTTCTAAATTCAGTCTGCATTTAGAGCCAGTGTGGGAAGTTGATTTTGCTAAGAGCTTTCTAAACGCACTGCACTGAAATGAAAGCTCTGCTTGCCTCTAGTTGCCTCTGGGTGTGTAGGGAGGCCGGCTGTGTGAGCCTGTCACTGTAACACTCACTGCTGGCACAGATGCTTGGGTGGGCAGAGTACTGGCTGCTTATCTTCAGAAATTCTCACAGCAGAATTCCAGAGGCCCAGCCTTGCCTCCTAAGCAAGCTAAATTCATCCTTGAGGAGGAGGAGAGCTGTGTCAGTGCCCTGCTGCAGCTACTGCACAGGGGCCTTGCAGCTCTGTGGTGTTCTCCCGAGTTCTAGAGGCCAAGAGATGGTAGAAGGTGCCTTCACAGCTTGTGTTGCTTCAGGGAAGGGTTCTGGAACTGGAGCCAGTTGGAATGTGCAGCTGGAGATCACTGCAGCTCCTGCAGCCAGATTGGGATGGGCCAGGGCACCAGGGCTGGCATTGGATTTGTGTGGTAGTAATGTCTTGGCTTACCAGGCTGAGGGAGTACAGGCAGTAAAATTTGTCCAAAGCAAGATTGTTAGAGTGCCACATGCAGATGATTTGTATGCTTTTGAACACCAGCTCAAGATGACCTCTGCATTTCCTCCTTCCCTGTCATCTGTTGGGATTTTAAAGGTTTTAGAGCAGTGACTCTCTTACATGAAAAAATTCAATTGACTTGAAAAATTTGTCAGTGGTTCTGAATGAGGCTGCATCTTTTAGCAACATTCAGTCTCTTACATATGTGCCTTCCTTCTCATTTAATTAAGCCTCCAAACACTGGTTTGAATGGTAGCTATTCCATATGCAGGCAAGTTGGGAGTCACAAGGGAAAGTTATTTAAATTGGCATTTAAGTCTGAGTCACTATCTAACAACTCTTTGAAATTCTAGGTTATTAAAACTTCTGAATTCCTACCGATGTTGAGAGAAGCATCCTCTGCAGTGGCTGCAGGCACAGCAGGTCACACTGGACTGTGACAGCACTGCAGATGTGAGGTACAGCCTGACCTCACCATACACTGTGCTACTGAGACGCAGCCAAACTCCCTTAAGCTTCCTGGGACTCAGTAAAAAGCTGCCATGCTAGAAATATTCAGAGATGCCATCAGCTCTCCCACTCAGAGCAGGGGAGGAAGTGAAACCCACCAGAGAAACAAATATGGAGCAAGACAGACTTGGCAGTATGCAAGGAAATAGATTATTTATGTACATATTGTTGGATCAGGGGTGTTTGTCACATCTTGGGAAAATGATTGAAGGCTTGGCTTTGAGTCCCTTTGGGTTTTGAGGAAACACTTAGACCTGATGGCATCAACACCTTTGTTACAGTAGGAAGAAGCTGATGCCAGTGACAAAATTGTGGACATCACCCAGGTTGGGCGATGAGCACATTTATGGTGCAAGGGCCCCAGACACAGTGCAGGCACTCATCTACTATTGCCAAGCAGCCACATGTAGCTGCCAGCACACCTGGTGTGACTGAACATCCTGTTTGGTGTTTGCAACACAGATGCCTGCTCAGTTTTATGGTAGCATGAAATAACCATGCATACAGGAGGCGTTGGTGTCTATCTCGAGCTCATCCAGGTTTTATGGAACAGGGAGAGTCTGAGCCTGGCAGAGTGGGAAAGGACAAAAGTGAAAAACCCTCACTAGATCCTCCTGTGCAAGCACTGAGAACACATTCTCAGGGGCTCTGAATAATACTATACCTGCCTCTTAAGTTTCATTTAACCCCAGGGGACACAGCTGACTCCTGTTTGACTAAGCCTGCCCATCATGCCCAGCTGCTTGCAGAGCACACAGCCCTGCAGTCCTGGCAGGGTGTGTTTCTGAGCTGCTTGGTCATCTACTTTAATTTCACATCAACTCAAGGCCTGATTGACTGCAGCCTGTTTATTCCCTTCCAAAATAAATCTGAAAACCGAAGCCAGCATCCTGCCCATATCACAGACATGTCAGTATTGCTCAATTAGCAGCTCCCACGAGTGCCTTTGCTAATGAGAGCGCTCCAGCAGTGCCCGGGGCTGGCTGGGCGGGATCAGCAGCATTGGGTGTGACAGTCACGGCACTGGACACACACAGCGCTTCCCTGGCAGACCTCAGCGTGGGATGGTTGGAAGAGCAGACAGGAGGCGTTCCCTGCTTCCACCTTCTTTGCCAAACACTGGCGTAGCACATATGTATTTCTAAGGGGTAACTGTAAACTCTCAGTAGGTTTACATCCAGACATCTTCCATCTTTTTCACTCCCTCAAGTAGCTCTTGTGCATGAAAACTGTACATATCACAGGCATGTTTCCCTCAAGAAATCTCTCTATTATGCAATAATCATTTTCTCCTCTGTTTCCTCTTTTATCTTTGCTTTACAAAAAGGTTCTTGAAGGCATTGTTGTAATTTTTGTTAAATGCTGTATAAATGAGAGGATTAAAGAAAGAATTTGAGTAGCCAAGCCAAAGGAAGATGCTTTTCCAGACAGGCGGGATGTTGCAGGAGCAGAGGGGACTTATTAATTCTGTGATGAAGAAAGGGATCCAGCACAGTACAAAAACTCCAATTAAGATGCCAACCATCAGAGCTGCTTTTTTCTCTTTCTGTTCTCTCCATGTTTCTCCATCTGTCTGGAAAGTGATAGCTGCACGACGAGCTGTAAACACCATCTGTGGTTCCTGCGAAGCTTCCTTCACCTCAAACAAAAGCAAACACAGTTTCTTACCACGACAGTTTGTTTGAGTGAAGTATTACTTTTAAATGACAGCACAACATCTGTGCACCTACCACAAAAGGCCTGAACTCCATTCCTTCCATGCTAAAAGAAAGAAAATGCCCCAGAGTGCCAAAGTTACCAGGCTTCTCATTACACTGGAAAATCTGCCAAGTGTAACTGACAAACAGGGCTAAATAAAGAGTACCTGGTACCATGTGTGCTGCGGGATTCTTTTTCAGTTTATTTTATTGTAAGCCTTCATACCTGGGGGAAATCAGGTTGTTAAGGCAAGTTAAAAAAGGCCTGTGCCTGCTGCCTATCCCTGCTCTCATGCTGCTACGTGGCCTTTAGACCTGCTCTAGGTGAACTGATTCAGCAGGGACCTTGGACCAGATCATCTCCAGAGGTCCCTTCCAAGTCCAACCATTCTGTTATTCTGAACTTTCTCAAAAAATACTCCATTGTCAGAAAAACATCATTTCAACTGGCCTTCAGTTCAAACTCTGGCTTCAGAAGAAGTTATACAAGAGAGAAAAAAATTTCAGCTACTCCAGGCTGTCGACAGTGCTTCTTGTCTTCTCACTGAGGGCAAGACATTGATCTCTGCAGTGAGTACAGCACAGTGCTCTGGGGCAAACAGCTTTTGGGCAGAAGTTATTCGTGTGCTTTGAGTTTGACCTGATGAAGACACTCCCTAGGGATTTTAATCTGAAGATTGAAGTGTCTGTGATACTAAAGTTCTTCTAGGTGCTACAGTTATGAACAGAGTGCAATAAAAGCAACAGTTTAAGGCTGTAAAATTTGCCTGAGTGAAAATTCACAGGCACTGCAAGACTTGACAGCACTCCAGATATGGGTCATTGTTAAATTAGCTACATATTCCACATGCATGTGCTACCTCTGTAATAGATGGAGGGCCTCTACTCAGTATGAGCACAGCAATTCAGACAATGAAGCACTGGCAGTGGCTGAACAATCACTCTTCAGGATGGATATTCCTGTCTGCACCCTCAGACACAAGACAGGGCTGCACAATATAAGAGCAGCAGATTATGGACACACGCAAATAATGGAGGAAAATGAAAATCACATCTGTTCTGACAATTAAAATGGGAACACCCCTCATGTAGCAAGGATCACACCATTTGTCTGCAGAAGGACTTACTCTGCATGTCCTTAATCACACTCTGCAAAAAGGGATGAATGTATGACATGAGGACAAATCTGTGACAAGCAACCCTGAAAGATTATGTCAGCCCTGAGGAATAGCTACGTAAGTGCCTCTTGGGAACAGCCATACAAAGGACTTCCTCACAAGCATCAGGCAGTTTGGTACTGTATTTAACCTTCAACTCTTGCTCAGAAGATAGAGCTTGCTGTGTACCATCATCAAATCAGAGCCTTCTGACTACTTCTGACTAGCATTTACTAGCAGTGACCCTTTTATCACCTAATTACATATTGTAAAAAAAAGTTATTTCATTTCCTTTGCTAGAAGATACCTCAGTCCTCAAATGTTTTTTCCACAATGAAGCCTGCATGTACAGCCTGGTCAAGCTCCTACTTAAGTCAGAGTTGTTTTTACAAACTTCACTGATTGTTATGTCAGGCCTCTGAATACAAAACAGTAAGTGAAAATAGATCATGGTACATTTTGTAAATTACTTGACAGAACTAAATGCAGCTCTAAATGTACCAAATCTGCAGTTCCCAGTGCCAGAACCAGAGGCTTTGCATGACTCCAGTTTCCAATGTAAGTCACAACAGCTGACCTTTATCCCTGTACCACAAAGAACAAGTATAGAACCTTTACCCCCATGCTGGGCTTACTGATGAACACTAGCAAGCAGGCTGTGACAGCAGAAGAGGTGGTCACAGACTGTAAATTAGAGCAGTCCATGGAGGTGCCCTGGGTTTTGCTGGAGCCATTTCTGCAGTGTTGCACACTGTTCTCACTCAGTGTCTAGCAGCACACTCTGCCTCGGGCACAGATTTCCTTCCATCTGCCCAGGCACTGCTCCAGGAGCTGCGAGTCAGGAGCACTGGGGAAATAGCTGGGATGAAAGGACTGCTACTCTGAGGCCAGAATTTAGTTCTGAACTCATGAAATCAGCTATTTCCAGGACTACAGGCTGTGAGAAGTGCAGAGATGACTGCTGTTCTATGAGAGCAATAAAGAGAGTAAATGAAGGAAATGAGCTCAAGTACAAATCCTTCTACAGTCACAAAGGAGTTTGGCTTTAGTTCCAGAATTTATTCTTCTCTACACTGATCAGCAGTTACAGTTCAATTCCCCTTCTCTTGTTTGTCTGTCCCCAGTAAATTACTACTCCCAAATAGCTACGTTTCCAGATCTGTATGTTCCCAATTCCTGTGTTCTTAGAATGCCACAGAAAACATGCCACTACGGAGCTTCTGACAAAATTCCTTAATTTAAAATGTTCCTTATAGCTTTAATGATTGTTATTACTGGTCCTTTGTGGCAGGTGCTCTGTGTATGTTTGTCCTGCACCTGCAGGGTCTGCAATAACAAAACAACAGTAAAGATGATAAACATCAAACAAATCTCGCTTAATACCACAAATTCAGAGCTTTGCCTATCACAGTGTGCTTCAGCAAAGGTCATTACTGCCTCAGTGCAGCCCTGGCACGCTTCTTGCTCTTTGAACAAGAACACAAGAAACTAAATGCACAACAAAGGATCAAAACATAAATGTCTACACTCTCTTGGATGTTCCACCAACATGACAAACAGTTCATTTGACAGGAAGAAGAACACTGGCTTTCTTTCATAAGATTTTCTTCTGCTGTAAGCAGGACTAACTCTATTTCTCCCAGAAAATCACTACCCACTCCACATTGCTTCCTGCCTCATTCTTTTCTGGACATTTTTTGCAGCTCTTCTGAACAGCTGAACTTTGATTCCTGACCCATCTCTTCTACTTGTACAAAGGCAGAAATAAGAAATAAAAGGCCTGTGACCCCTTCAGAAAAGGAGAATCTGTTTTTTCTCCCACACTGTCCTGATTGGTTAAGTGAGTTGGAGAAGCTGAATGGGCCAAGGTGCAGAACAACACAGCACCTCTGGAGCCTGATGTTATCCAAAGTGGGAAGGACTCTCACAAAACTCTGAGGTTTGGATCATGCCTAATGTTTTTATAAACTATATAAGTACTTTGAGAGGGAAGAAAGAAAAACAACACAAAACAAACAAACAAAAAACCAAAACAACAACAAAAACAATAAAAACTCCATCAATCATCAACAGAACTTGATTTTTAACTCCTCATATGGAAATTTAAACCTGATTTTGCAATTGCTACATGTAAGACATTCAGATCTCATCATCCTTGGTTCTGCTGGGCTATCCCTATGCTACAAGGGATTTCATTGATTTAAGAGGGCACTATCCAGCAGTATCTGCTGTTTTTCAAGCAGTCTCATTTATTTCAATTGGACTGTTTAGAGAGAGAATTATTGCCTGCTGTCAACAAGGTGTGACAGAGCATAGCTCTCTGTCAGTGATGGTATGTCACTAGATTTTTAATGAGGGTCACCCACGTCAGTGTTGCCTGCAGAATTCACTTTTTTAGGGATTTTCATAATTGGCAAACAAACAATTATAAAAACACCAGCTTAATTTAGGATCCCAATTCGGCAATTATTTTATTTCAAAGGAAAGCAAAAAATCAAGTTCTCATTAAAACCTGAAGCATTCTCAGATCCCTCACTCAATTTTTTTCAAAGGTTTTGAAAAGTATTTTTCAAAAACACAAGTAAAATTTTAATCAAAGGATGACTCAGAATAGTTATTTTGTACCTATTCTATTCTGCAGCTCTCTAAGAGTGTAGGAACATAAGGTATGCATGCCAACTCCCAGTTTGAAAGAAATGCCCTTTCTCTGTGGAAAAAAACAAACCATTATATATATAAGTGGCAACCTGGAAAGGCTGGTGTCACCATTTTGGTGCCTGGCTCTGTTGGCTGACAAACATCAAGGTACCATCCTCACTGCTCCACTTGGTGCATTGATTTTTCCAAGGCATCCCTACTGGCATCTGAGTGCTATGAACTCAGACCTTTTCTGTCCTTAGACTTGCCAGAATTCACCAGCTGGTTTTACCTCAGGCCACGAACTGCAGCCCTGCTGTGAAGTTCCAATCCAGCATTCACTCCTGAGTGCAACACAGACGTCTCTCCCAGCAGGGATCACTGCTGCTATTGCTCACCTCCAGACTGGGAAGCACTGCCAGCCTTTGGCATCGTCTGCCAAAAAGCCCCACTAATATTCCTCACATCAACTGGTGCAGAGCACCCGGAGTGATAACTGACATAGATGCAGAGGGGAATTCACATCCAGAGTCACAGTGACAGAAGGAAAATACTGCCAGGCTGAGCACTGACAGGTGAGCATTCTCTGAGAATGGAGATGGAAGAAAGTAGAGGGAGGAGAGACATCAGGGGAGAAAGAAAGGGAAAATAAGAATGGTTTTATGGGCAAACCATGAGAAGCAGAACAGAATTTGCCCCATCAGAGAGAACAGAACTGATGCTGACAGCCTGATCACCCCTGCATGTGGAGAAGTAAAGCTTGGCAATGTTACCTTTGCATGTTAAAAAAATCAAGAGGGTTTTGCCAAAGAAAGTGGTGATGTGTGTGAAGATTCCCCTCCAGAATTCACTGGGAAACTGCTACTCTTCCTGTGGATGTGATGGATCCTACTACCACGAGCTTAAAAAGGATCGGGATAGCACTTGGTGAGTAAATCTCAGTATCTTAATTTAGAAAGAAAACAAGAAATGCATCCTGAATGCCAGCTCGCTTGATCCATGAGTTCATTTAAAGTACACATGTAAAGTACACATCAGCTCTTCCTTCTGGTGAGGAGTAAAGCTTGCATCTGAATCACAGAAGTCTTTTAATTTAAATCAACAAATGGAGCTACTGGGACAACAGAGGAAGTTGCCACTATACACCAACTGCAGGTTCAAGAATCCCTGTTAGGAGAAGTTCATATGTCAATCACACCAATATGAGAACGGAGACCTACTGGCTTGAGCATTTGCTGGTATTGCAATAACCCCTCCAAAACGGGTGTTTGGCTCACTCTGACAGAGCCTTTTTGTTAGTGCAGCCTAAACCAGCCCCCAGACTGGGTTGCATCAGCACAAATCACTTACCTGGCAGCCACGCTGGGCCCACACAGGGCTCTTGCAGACAGAACTGTGACAATGTGCAGCCAGACTCTGTCTTGCTAAAACTGTCATGTGATGTGTCTCTCCACTGACTTGAGCAGCAATGCCTCAGCTCATTTTGCTTCCCAGAATCTTAGATTCCAAACAACTAGTCCTGTATGGGCACGGGTGTATGTAAAAGATAGAGCATGCAAAACCACTACAAATAATCAGCTGGCTTGAAGAGATTATACATTAACTCCAGGCAATACTTCCATCATACTTAGAATAATTTGAAAGAAATTTGGTGCAAACTAGGGGCTGAATATCATAGGAAAAAAATGCCACTAGAAGAGACATTCTCAACTTTTCTAACAATTTTTTTGCTTTTTCATAGAAGATACCTTCATAAATCAATATATATTAAAAGTATCTTCAAGACATTATGATTCAAATCTGTGAGTCTAATCACACATTACTGCCAGTGCTGTTATCTCTTGCAAGAATCTGGGGACACAACGTACAGATTCTTACTTGTGACCTTAACAATGAGCTTCCTCGACTCCAAGTGCAGGGGAATGAGGCTCTGCAGGATTAGCCCCAGTGGAACAGAAACGTTCTCTGTAGGTATCTCTAACATCTACACATCATCTTTGGCTACTGGGGAGGGACTGGGCTTAGGAAGTGCAACATGCAATCACAAAAACATGAAGACTGGTAGGAGTGAGAGTAAAGTATGTGACAGAAAGCAGTGAAAGTTTACAGAGACCACAGTCAAGCACGGTGGAGGCATGGAATGAAAGAGAGCAGCATCATGCAGAGAGCCTGACTTATGGAGCACAAGGAGCCAACTCCAACCCTTCTGAAGGGACACAGCTTTCCTGCCAGCAAAGTGTATCCTCAAAATGAACAAGACTTCCCAAATGGCTAGGGCACTGCAGGATTACAGACAATCTTTGGGATAAAGAGAAGATGGTTTTGAAGCCAGCAGATAATTTTAAACCAGAAACGATTGCTCATTGCTTCAACACTATACAGTGAGCAGGGTAAAAAAGCCCAAGCACATCCATCCATCCATCTATCTATCTATCTATCTATCTATCTATCTATCTATCTATCTATCTATCATTTAGAGTAATTTGCTTACCAAAATCTATTCAGACATACAAAGTCTGTGCATTTATCTCGGTACAAGACCTGGGGATCTGTTTATGTCTTTTTTTTACCACATCAACGCTATAAAAGACATAAAGAGGGAAAAAAACAAACCCAAGGAACGGAAAATTCAGAACTAAGAGACAATTTTCAAATGTTTCTCCCGACTGGCAGTGAATGCACCTGTCCCCTAATCTTATAACACACAAGGAAGAAATGAGAATAAAGCTTTTCTCCAGGAGCCACACTTTTTGACTGGCTAGTTACCGGTCACGTCCAGTCTGTGACAAAGTTAAACTCCCACGGGAGCCCCAGGGCACCTCGCAGCTGAGCCGAACCCACCATGGCAGGGGAGAGGGCCGGGAGCTGAGGAGAAGCAGAACCTGGAGGAGAAGCAGGGGCTCCCTCCCCTTGCCCAGCCTTACCTGGGCAGCCTCGGGCAGGGGCACCACGGCGTTCCTCCTGCGGCCCCCCATGTGGAACTTGGACGCCTTGTAGATCTTCCAGTAGACGAAGAGCACCACGCAGAGGGGCAGGTAAAAGGCCCCAAAGGTGGAGAAGATGGTGTAGGAAGGCTCTCGGCTGACTTGGCACTCTTCGCTGTCCTCTGAGTAAGTCTCTCCCCAGCCAAAGAGCAGTGGGGCCAGAGAGATAAAGGCGGAGAGTGCCCAGGTCAGAGCAATCATGATGTTGGAGATGCGGCGCCGGGTGCGGAGCGTGTACTCCAGGTGGCGAGTGATGGACCAGTAGCGGTCGAGGGCAATGGCCGTGACATTCCAGATGCTGGCAGTGCAGCACAGCACATCGAAAGAGATCCACACCTGGCAGAGCGACCGGCCCAGCCGCCACCGCCGCCCGGCCGACAGCTCCTTCACCAGGCTCAGCGGCATCACCAGGGCCGCCACCAGCACGTCCGACACCGCCGTGGAGGCCACCAGGTTGTGGGGCACCCGGTGGAAGGCCTTCACTCGCAGGATGGTCGCCAGCACCAGCAGGTTCCAGAGGAAGGTGGCCACGGTCAGGAGCACCAGCAGGGTCAGGATGAGGACGGTGAAGATGGAGAAGGGCTCCCGGCCCCTCCAGGCGCTGCCGCCCACCGAGGAGGAGGCGTTGGCGTCCATGCTGCCGGACGAGGTGTTGGCGCCCATGCTGGGCTGGCACTGGCCCCGTGAGGAGCAGGGGCTCAGGCTCTCCGCCATGCCCGGGACCCCTCACCGCTCCCCCTTCCCAGGCAGCCGCCACCGTCCCCAGCCCCGCTGCCGGCGAGCGGGAGCCCCACACCGGGACGCGCCCCTCTCAGCGGCCGCCCGCCATGTGCCGCTGCGGCTCCCGGCCGCGCCCGCCGCTCCACACGCCCATCCCGGCCGGCTGGAGAAGGGAGGGAGGTTCGGCGGGACCGCGGCGAGGCTCCGGCACGGGCAGCGAGGGCGGGCGGGCGGCACCGGCGCTGCTGCCCCGCCCCAGCGGCCGCCTCGGGGGCGGCGGCGCGGCCGGTCCGTGAGGGGCGGCGGGAGGCGGCGCCTCCCCGGCTGCGGCCCGCGGGCCCGTGAGCGGAGCGACGGAGCCGCTGAACCGCCGGGGCTGGAAGGGACCTCTGGAGATCATCCCGTGCCACCGCCCTGCCCAGGCAGGGTCACCTCGGGCAGGTGTCACAGGAATGCGGGCAGGTGGGTTTGGAATGGCTCCGGAGAGGGAGACTCCACGCCCTCCCTGGGCAGCTTTTAGTGCGCTGCCACCCTCAGTGTAAAGAAGTTCTTCCTCACGTTGAGGTTAAACTTGTGTTTTAGTTTGTGTCCTGTCGTTGGGCACCACTGGAAAGAGTCTGGCACCATCCTCTTGGCACCCACCTTTTATTAATATGCATTAATGAGATCCCCTCTCAGTCTTCTCCAGACTAAACAGGCCCAGCTCTCCAAGTCTCTCCTCATAAGACAGATGCTCCAGACCCCTCATCACCTTTGTGGCCTCTGCTGGACCCTCTCCAGTAGCTCTTTGCCTTTCCTGTACAGAGGAGCCCAGATTTGGACGCAGTGCTGAGATGTGGTCTCTCCAGGGCCGAGCACACAGCAATAGTCTGTGTCCCCACAGAGCCAGGTGGTGACGAGACACCCCCTTCTCCCCACGGACCCCACGAGGCTACAGGACACCCTCTTCCCTTCACAGCCCCTTCCTGCCATGTTCCCTCACTGCTCACACCAACCACTTCATTGCTCTTAAAATAAGCAATCAAATACGTGACCAAGTGCTTGGAGACTGACAATAGAATTAACAGTGAATACAAGGGAATGTCATGTTTCCATCTGGATGTTTGGTGCTTTGTGGAGCTTTTGAGAAGTCTGAGGGATGCAAAACACAAAGGGTGGAAAATAGCAATCTCTTGTAAGTCTAAATACTTTACATCTTCCTTTGCATCTGTTCTCACTTTACCATGTTGACCTGAGAACTGATGAGAAATTGACTTGTGGCAGAGGTGAGAAATTGCAAAGCATTTCCTAGTCCTCATCACTTTACCAAACATCACTTCAGGACTCTCTTTAACTGAATCTTTTCGGACTCAGTCTTGTCATAGCATTTCTTTCTGTCAGTCTGCAAGTTCTTAACTTGGCTGAACCCTCCCTGCATCCTTGAAATTCGTGTCCAAGCTCCCCTTTGCTCAGCTCTGCTGAGGAAGTGTCTGTCCTCCCCAGGGAGCAGCTGCCCAGGCCAGCTTTGTTTCAGAACCATTTCCAAGCACTTCAAAGGACAGCACACAGCTTAGAAACAGTTCTGGAGGGTGATGATTCATCCAGATAGAACAGAGTTCCAACCCATTTTGTGAAATGATGCTGTATTTTTACAGCAAATATATAAAATTTAATATTACATTTTCCAGAAGTTTGTTTTTATCCGTTAGAGGCAGATTATTTTTAGACCATTATAAAGGGACTACACTGAACTTGACTTTACTTATTTTCCATTTTTGTTTAAGATTCAAAAGTGCTACAAAAGCTTCTAGCAGATGCAGTTTTATTCCATCCTCTTTCATAGAAAATCAGCCTTGTTTCTAAAGCATTTTTAAGAAAAGTCAGTTATATAAATCCTGCAATTAATTTGAGAAATATATAGACAATTTCAGCTCAAGACAATAAACAAACCTTCCAAAGTCCTTTGACAGCTGGTTCCATACTTTCACAATTGAAAATGTGATGAAGAATCTAGATGTCACATAGATGCCAGCTGCTATTGATTTTATCAGTAATAAAAACACAAGTGATTGCAACCACTCATAGAGGAGCCCAAAAAGCCCTGGGTATCTCTACATCTTTAGCTGACAGCCAGAATAGAAAGGAGAGTTTGGAAGTTTTGTAGCTGTTACACAAGATTTTGCAGAGCCTACAATTTTCCTTTTTTTTTCTCTTTAAATTCTGACCAACTTGGAAAAAATAGTAGATTTTTTTTTCAGTGTTGCAGCTTACAAAAATGTCTGGGAAAACGGACTGCTACTGAAGAGTATGCTAAGGTTTGGGGTTTTTTTTGAAAAGTGAATGCAGTTCTTAAGCTGGATGACACCGATATAGCAAAGTGAATGTGTTTCTAGACAGGACCCCGATCTTCCATTTGTCTTCCCTTCTTCTAATGGCATCTTTCCTCTACCTCTCCCCACTCCATATCAAAAGTTTATCGTGGTGGTTAAGCGGAGAAAAAAAAAGTAATCTCTTCCCCACGTGGCTGTGCAGTAAAGAGATTTGACAGAAGCAACATCACAGTATTTATGACTTTGATGCAAGCCAGCAGATTTTTTAGCACTAAGAGCATTCCAGTTTAAGAGGCTGGATTCTTATTGTCAGGGCTTAACATCTTCTATAAATCTAAAAACATCAGACAAACAAACGTCTCAGAAAGTGTTGCATGAATTCTCCTGTCAGCTAAAATCCTGAGAAAAACAAGCTAATAGAGCAAAAGCCAGGAGCAGTGTTAGACTTTATTCTGTATGCTTTGCCCCTTGATTACAGTCTTTCAGCACTACTTTAATTCGAAAGAAACAATCAACCCACCTTCAAGGGCTAATAACTGGCTCTCTTCTGGGCTCTGTAAAATCCCTTCTAAGTTTTGAGCATTTGAAGTGATGGACAATGATCTCCTAAGCAGGGCAGTGGCTGAACTAAAACCAAGTCACAGACCTCTGCAGTATCCTGTCAACACCATGTCTTCCTTCACAGAGGGATCTCTACTAAAACATTATTTTTTAAAATCACATAGCCCTTCTCACCCTTCCTGTGAGTTGCCTTCCCTGAGCCTCAGGTCACTGGCTTGAAAGCAAATCATCAGAGCTTTCGTAGCTTACTTAAACTGAGCCGTCAAGTCATACATCAAACAGAAAGGCTGATTACTGCCAAAATATAAACATACTTCTTATTTACAGATCTCAATACATAAAATCTTACCCAGTTCTCAACTATTCTTGCTCTACAGTGTCAATCAAGGTGCCTTCTACCTGTGACATTCACCCTGAAAAATTTGATGGTAACACTTTCTGACCAGTGTTGTGCTTGTCTGTAACTTGGCAGCTTTATGGCACAGGAAACTCGGATCATGACAAGATTTTTCACAATTATGAGCAGTAACTCGGTGGCAGAGTGCTCCTTTATGGGCTCGTTCCAAGAACTGTCAAAAACATCTTCCAGTTCAAGCAGAACAGTTTTGATCACCCCCTTAAGTGGTTTAAAGAGTCCAATTTCTTTGTCAAGGTTCTCAGAGGAACAAAGCAATTTCTCAAGGCACACAGTATTAGTCCCCAAGCGATTGGTCACTGTTATGAGACAAGCCTTGAGAGCAGCCTGATGGCTGAGGTCTATTAACTGCTCACAAGATTGATATCAGGGGAAGCTGCAAAGGAAACCTTAGATTTCCAGTCTGACAATCTTTTGCACTTCTTGCAATACCATGGTGGAATAGATGCTGCCCAATACACAGATACTTCATCAGAAGCTATTTTTCATTTACGATTTCATAAACCCATAAACTACATAAAAGCAAAAGGTAATTGCATCTGCACAAGACAGGAAGCTTTTAATTCCCACTTAGCTCATGAATTTCTCTTCTGCTTAATCAGGATATTAGAGCTGACTTTGTAGCTACTACAGGCAGGGTGGAGTCATTACACATCTATGTTTAAATAAGTGTTAACTTTTTTTTTTCCTTCAGTGTAAGCTATTACTCTAGAGCAATACCATCCATCTTTGCATCTCTTCCAGAAATTTGCTTCAAGGATTTCTTTGTATTGGAAAAGTAGAAAAATACAACCTAAGTATCACTGGGAGGAGTTGTGCAGGTTCTTTGTCAGTTTTCCATGTATCAGATTTTAGAAGTGGCAGGAATTTTGATGCACTTTTAAGCCCAACCAGTTCTGGCCATGAGCACCTGGTCAGACAGGTGGTCACTGACTCCATATCCCTGTTCCAAACCAATACTCCACACTACTGCAGCCACTGCTTGTGCCCACATAACCACACTCTGATCTTCACAGTGGTTTACTGAAGCTTTGGTTACATCTCTTTCCCAGTAATTAATTTTGCAGTTCATCTAATGAGTCCCTCAGCGTTTCTTTTGCTTTAATGAAAGTTAATTCCCATACAGGAACTGCACAGCTGGCAGGTATAAACAGAAGCCTTAAACTGTATGATGATATAGATCTCAGAGAGAACTCCTAAGGTGTGCTATTAATAAAGACATGAAAATCACTTTGACATTATTATTTATAAATTTATAAGAAAACCCAGAATCGAAGATGAGAACTCAATGAGACAGGCATAATACTTAGCACTGCTTACACTTCAGAGATTTTGCTACTTCATTGCAAGCTTAGAAGCACAAGACATTCAAATTCTAGTAACAAAATTATTTTGATGTTAAAAATCTTAAAAGCCCATTAAGGTCTAAAGTCAGCCATTTCTTAAGAGGGAAAATCAGACAATGCTCAGTTCTGAATGGTGAAAGCACTAGAAACAGAATGGTTGTATTATTTCACCCCATCTGCTTTCCTCAAGGATGAAAAGAAAGTCCACTGATTTTTTAGAAAACATTTCAATGCATGTATCAGTTTTAAATCTGACATGCTACCTCAGAAAGCATCAGAAATAACAGTCCAATTTATATTGGAATAACTGCTTATGCTTTTGTATTTGTAACTGCTCCTGGGTTACATTTTAAATGTAAATTAAAAGCTGTTTTACTGTAATCACACATGGCTCACATTTCTGGATTTTGTGACATTTTAGTCTTTCCTTGACACATGAACACTTTTTAAACACTTCTCACCACCACTGTAGCCTTGTAAGAGCAATTATCTACTGCTACAATGGCAGAGAGATAGAAATAATGTATGGAATACAATTATTTTTACCCAACTTGTGTATTCTTGTACTGAAACCTCCACATTTTCTCCTGTCTGTGTATTCCACCCTCTTCCATTTCAGTTTTTTATATTCCTCCTACAAAGTACCCTTCTAGTATATTTATACCCCATTTCATTTTTTCACTTATGGAGTCCCTCCACCCCACCAGTCCTGTGGCAGTATCTTTGACTTTGCTCATCGCTGATCTGATGTACATTGACTTGAAAGCAATGCACTTTTGAAATAACTACAGAACTTCTCATTGCACCAAGGTTATGAAACATCTTAAAAACACTTCCCGGGTTGAATGCTTTAATTTATGTAATCTGCTTTCCTTAATTCTTTGCAGAGTACACTAGATGTCACCAGATTAATAAATTCAGATTTAAACTGAACATGAATGAAAACCAAATATTTTACTATAGTGTTACCATTATATCACATTAAACAGCATTAATCCCATCTCAGAATTGATGCAAGAGATTTGTTTTATTTTGGACACTGTACTTACTATACAGATACCATGTCTGAAATTATTCACAAGCCCATACAGCCTTAGTTATTCATCCATGGTTCAGCTCGAAAGGAATCTTCCTATATTCTTCAGCATGTTTGATGGCCAAAGCAGAGTTCTTCAGCATTAAAATCCCTTGCAACGATTCATGTGAGCAAAACCTTTTAATCTCACAATGTCCTTATGTTGTTCACTCTTAACAACTTTCAGAGGTATGCATAGAAAGAAGGGTAAATGTAAAGCAAATTCTTCTATAAAAATCTAAACGTATTCTTCCTGTAGTATTGACTTAAGGAAATTCAAATGATATTCTTCCTTACAACCAGCATGGCAAAATTCGCTGGCCATATTCTCCTTTAGCCTCAGTTCTGAAGAGTGTTCCTGAAGTGAAGAAGATGTTCCCAGAAAAGAAAAAAATCCTTAAAGAGACCTAAAAATGAGAAAGGAGCTGCTTAAACTGGAAGTAACTGCCAGATGGTTTTGATCAAGGTAGGCTGCTCCAAGGCCCCAAGGCATTTTAATGACTGTAATTAACGAGAAAACTGCCGATTGTCGGATTTCTTGCTGATGTGTTTGAAGATTTTTGCTTTGTGGACATTTTTTGTTTTCTGGTAGCCAAATCCTCCACCTCCACCTCTTTTCTGTAGTCTTCTGCCATGGTTGCTGTTCACATCTGAAATTTTATTGGTTAAGGAACTTTAAAAAGAGTAATTTGAAATACTGCATTTTGGGTTTACTAAGGGTTACTGGTGTGAGAAAAAATAATTACACAAAAAGCTGAGCTGCCTAATTACAGAGAAACCCAGAACTTTTTGCCTGTGGTTCTAAATACTTCTCCAGCTCCAGTCCAATTAAACTGTCCAATGTACTACTGCTTCAAATTCCACCCACTGTCAGGTTTGACACTAATTAGATGCATTCTTCTAGTTCCTGTTCTTGCTCCTCTAAGCCAATATTCCATGACTGTGAAACTTAAGCAAGTACATTTCAATGAAAATAATTTTGCATGGAGGAGAACAATACTTTGGAACATGGGTGCATTCCAGAATCTGCCTGACAGCAACTGAAGCCTGTAGAGCATGGCTAAAAGAGATGTTTGTAGGCATTTTTGCAATTGTCTTATTTGCAATAGTTACATTTTCTTTGATAAAGTACTGTTGGAGCATGATGCATTTTTATGACTATTAGCAGAAAAACTCCAACCCCAACAACAAAACAGCAGAACTTGAGGTACCATAGAAATTCAGCAAGTTGCACTGAACATTTATAATGCAGAAATTCAGCTTTGAAACACTGCAGTAAAAGGATACTGAGGTCAACAAACGGAGGAACTTTAAAACCAAATGAAAGGCTGACTTTGGGAAGATCCAAATTATTGACATCATAGATCTGCTTCAGAGAATGGGAGTCATAAGCTCTGATGTAAGCTTTGTAAGCCTCCTGGGCTGACTTGTGAAGGAAGTAGTTCTTCTCTATCAGTTTTTCCAGCTGGTGAGGAGAAAAGAAAACCATAATAAACATAAACAATTATAGCTGTTAAAAGTCTATACATTATATTCTGACATTTTTTAATGTGTGAATGGCAATGACATTCACTTCTCACTTCAGCAAAACCCTGTGACATCAAAGTGCACATACAGGTGTAAAAATGCTTTTATAAACAAGTAGAGGGACAAAAAAGCCTGAAGCTGAGTTACAGTACAAATAAAGCCTCAGCAATATGAAAATTTGTCCCAAGCAAGTTAATCGAGGACAATACACCTGCAGCCACACCATGAAACCATTTATATGAGAACTGCCAGCCTGACATCTGAACTGGGATTCCATGCAATTCCGTGCACAATCTGACTTATTATGGTGCCAATGCATTGTGAAATCAGCAGTATTAATTCTAAACCAAAAATGCAGATACATCAGGGTAGATTAAGACATTTTATTTGATATGGGCCATGTTCCCAATACTCATTAGATCCCAGTGTCTCATTTGATGTTAAATGTACATTAATTCAGTACTCTAAAAATAAGCTACATTAGGCGTCATTTCTTCCTGATTATGCTTAATTAGGAACCTCTGTCTGTAAGGACTGTCTTCACTGCTTCCTGTACTTGCTATTTCAAATTCAAGTTACTGCAAAGAAATTTTACAGAGCTCTTATAAAAATATTACAGAAGTAATCAACAACAGAAATTCATGTCTTCGGAATTATCTATGCTATTCCACTCAACTTTGTGTTCCTTGGCTATTTTTGTAGCACAAGAGCACAAAAGAAGGTTAGCTGATGCTGGGCTTTATTAACACCAGTTAATTAAATATGCACATGGGCTTATATACTAACATTCCTAAACAAGCAGACATATTTTTCAGTTGCATCATTACAGACTGCAACATTCTCCATGCAAATTATAATAAAGATATTCAAAGCAGTTGAAGTATAAAAACATGTCATACCTGAGACTGGATGTCTGAGATTTTTGACCAAGAAAATTCAAATTCACTTAGCGGTACCTTAAAAACAAAAGAAGAAATGAACTATCAAGATTATTTACACTGTGTAAATGTAGTGAATGTGTTTAAGACCAAGGACAAATAGAAAACAATCTGCTACATAACAGTTTTTTAATACCACAGCTGTATCTGTAAAGTGCCTTTACATCAATATGACAGTGTTACCACTTCCTTTAAGCCAGAGTAATAGAGACACTCAGTCTGACATCATTTTTTACCACTTTTGCTTTAGAAGTTAAATCACTTTAGTTAGAAGTCACAAAACAAGTCCATACGGAGAGCAACCAAGAAATTCTGTGCAGTTCTATTAAAATTATTACCTTTAGAAGAAGACTGTGCTTCTTTTGGAATTAAACAAAATGAAACTGATCTTTGAAAAAACAAAACAAACCAACAGTTTTTGTCTTTAAAAACTGGATGTACAGTAAAAAAAGATAAATGTAGACAGAAGTTTACCCTGGCTTGTTTCAGATAACGAAGAAAGCCCAGTTCTTCTGGTCGTAAAATGAGCAGAGCATGTCCTCTACCATTTATTCCTCTGGCAGTCCTACCAACACGATGGATATATTCCTTTTGGAAAGAATAACAAGCAACAAGGTCAGGCAGTCTTAATAACCAACAAAAAATACACCAAAGTTAACCTCAATATAATATGATGCATCATTCACTATTTGGTAAGACTTTTTCTTGGCACTGACACATGGATAAGGGAAAACAAGTGCTGAAGGTGCAAAGCAACATCAGGTTGAGGCAGAGCCTGACTAAAGCATTTTATCTTTTACTGAAGAAAAAAAATCGTAGTCTGCAGTAGCTGCAAATTAAACCTTGATTTTGGAAGTTTTTCAATTTCCCTTTTTTACAGTACACTTTTTTTAAAAGTAAGAATATTATCTTTAAACAAAATGCAAATTTCAAGTGGAAAAGCTCAGGGATGCATTTGTAAACTCACTCCTCTTTGAGAAGTGTTTAGTTGTTTAGCTGATTAGATTTTAGTTTCACAGCACAAACAATATTTTAAAATGCAATTCTTAAGAAGGCAACAAAGGTCTTGGCTAGGAGCAGCATTTCTTAGGAGCTGGTGAAGGGCAGTGAAAGAAACCAGCAGCTGGATATGACTATGGCTGAACCCTGCCCTCTGTCAAGCAGCGGTTTCAGCTTTTCTCTGCAACTAAGTTTGTAGCCACAATATGATTTCGTGCTGTGACACTTGTCTATTTCCTTAACTTACCTTAGGATCATCTGGAGGGTCATATTGGACAATCCAGTCAACCTCAGGAATGTCCAATCCTCTGGCAGCCACATCAGTGCACAGCAGTATTCCAGACTCTGCATTACAGAACTGGAAAAACGTTGTAGTACGTTTGGTCTGTTTCTGCTTGCCCTGAAAGGAAACAAACATACTGGGGATGAAATATCAACTAAAGAAATAATTTGAGACATCTTTCCAAATAGTGGTCTTGTTCAGACCAAGCAGGACCATTTTGCAGTGAAGAAATAAAGAAAAAAATAAGGCACAGGGTTTCAAGAGGGGGCATCCCTCAGAGGTTACAGTGGATCTCCCAAAACATTAAAAATTACATAAACATTATTTTCATGAGCACAACATGCATGTTTCAATTTCAGAAAAAGGATATTTGAAAGTCTAGCAATATGTTAGACAGATTACAGGTTAAAAAAAGCAAACAACCAAACAAAGCTGATATTTGTCACAGTTTTATCAAAGAATAGCAAGAAATTTCCCCCCAATACAAAATAAAAAAGGGCATTTCTGGTTAGTTGTAACTGTTTCATAGACTTTCAGTCAATTCTTTGTTCTAAACTGTGCATTTTTTGGTTTTGACAAAAATTTTCCAATACTCATCCAGATGGTAAGAATCCAAACATAACTCTGGCCTTAGGAAAAGCATCAAACACTTCAGGCATCAGACTGCATTTCTCTGACAAGAAATTCTCTCCACATATTGAATTTTAGTGCTTGTGAAAGGTAACTTCTTGGAAGAAAACAGAAATGTTGCTACACAGGGAGCACTACGTAATATCAGTGTTCAGCACTGGTTCAAAAAAATAGCAAGTCTGATTATTACTGAAGTGTCGTTGCATAATCTTTGCTTTATCTCCTTCCTCTACAGACTAATCAAGACCATCGTCAGTTTTGTGAGCAGGATGTCTGTTTATTAGAAACTAGACTGAAACAAACCAGACAAATGTAAAGCCAGTAACAGCTTACAAGCGTTATCAGAATAATTCAAAATAAATCAATGAAAAAGATACTTACATGAATGGCCAAAACAGGCAGGTCAATGTAGTTGAGTAATTCATAATGGTACTTCACTGACATACATGAAGAAAAAAATACCATCAGTTTCTTCTTCCGGTTCTTCTTGAGGAATGTGAAGAGCAAAAGGAATCTTTTTTCAGATGGACACACCACATAACCCTGCAAAAATTTTAAACATTGTTAAATAAAAGTAGTAAGGAGCAGAGTTGTGTTCCAGTAACACAGTAACATCAGGGAAGGGTTACTTTGTGAAAAAAACCCCACCAAATAGTTAAACAGTGAAGTACATCTGAAGCATCCCAAGTGAAAAAACCCACAGAGCTTGGTGTGCTCGGAGATCTCAACCCTCCCACTAACGTCTTACCTGTTCCAGACCATCTACTGTTGCTGTCTCCTTGTTATCATCAACCCCAACATACAGTGGCTCTTTCTTCAGAGAGATCTTTGCCAGATCTTCAACCTTTCTGGTTTGTGTGGCAGAGAAAAGCATCGTCTGTCTGCGCTCTGGAAAATATTTGAAAGATAGCCTCACTTTTTAAAGAAGAATTCAAATAGCAAGTCCATAAAATCTCTAACTGCATTTCCCTGGGCAAATCTTCCAATTAAATTCTAATTCAAACATACTGCTACTGACAAATAGAGAGGTCTAGCTGTATTATGGGATGTACACCATGTTTATTTCAGCTGTCCCCACCCCCCAAAATCCTAACCACTATGAAAATACATTGTTTTTTCTCTGTAAAAATGTTAATCATTTGCAATCCAATTTAGACACAAAACAACAACTTAAACAGAGAGCAATCTTCTAATTCTAAATTAATTTCCATAAATACTTCAATATATTTGTTAAAAACAATTCAAATTGTATTTAATACATCAATTACAAGGAACAGCTAAATGAAAAAATGGGAAATAAAAAATTTAAGGCAAATACTTAAACTTCTTCAAGATACTGGTCTTGAAGGTATCAAAAAAGACTGAACTGCAAGTCAGAAGACCTTTTTCCTTGCATTTAAAAATTATTAGGAAATAATTAGTTGCAGGAAATAAACAGGCAGAGAAAGATGAATGAGAAAATGGAGATGTTAAACTAAAGGGATTTTATATGAACAGAATTATATCTCTGAAGAGCATTTGAAAACTCTGTTCTTCAGATAAAATGCTGAAAAAGTAATATATACTGGCTAGCAGGAAAAAAAGGAAAACCACTAAGAAAGGAAAAAAACCCACTATGAAATTCATTTACAGAACTATAAAAATTAATGACTTCTCTTATAATTGAGTCAGAAAAAAGACAAAATGCTAGTCAAGTGATTTCCAGGAAAGAGATAATTTTTTTTTCTTACTTGGTAGAAGTTTTATGATCTGTTTCATTTCTTCTTCAAATCCAACCTCCAAGATTCGATCTGCTTCATCAATTACCAAACACTGCAAGTTCTTGTACATGAAACCTGGAGTGTTCTAGAAGATTAACAAACTCACAGTCAGACAGGGAAAGCAGTTTATAATGTTTTAATAACCAGATTAGACATCAATATTGTACCTACCTGCATATGATCCAGCAGTCTTCCTGGTGTTGCTACAATGATGTTGATTCCATTTCCAAGCTTCTGTGCTTCTGCTGATCTGTTACTGCCCCCCATGACCAGACCATAGGTGTGAACATGATGATTCATAAGTTCTTTAAGAACTCCGTAGGTTTGCATAGCCAGCTCTCGAGTAGGAGAAAGAATAATAACACCCGTTCCTAAAAAAGACATCAATCAGACAGGAGTCAGCTACAACTCATCCAAGCCCCTGAATGGCTGCTTTACAGAAAAATTCAGCTGTGAAATGAAAAGCCTTACCATTCCTAGGCATGAATTTCAGCTTGTAGATGAGTTCTACTGCAGGAATGAGAAATGCAAGTGTTTTTCCACTGCCTGTTTTTGCAGCTGCTAAAATATCCCTGTAAGTAGCAATGTTAGAAAAATAAGTATTTAGCTGACCATATAAAGAGAAGAACAATCTCACTCTGATCCATGGTGACAATGTAAAAACCTACCATGGCTTAAAGAAGACCAGAGGAGTTGGTACTAGGAGCATGCTGGCACAGGCAGGTCACAGCAATCGGTCACTGAAAGGCTGGAGGTCTTTTCCAGCCTTAACGATTCCATTATTTGATTTTGTGATATTATGATTCATGTATGCAGCTTGCCAGCAAAATTTACAAAACATCTGGGGTCATTAGAGTGACTAAAAAGCCCTATTTCTTACCTGCCTTCCAGAAGAGGCTTAATACTTTTATGCTGAATTTCAGTCATGTGTGTAAACCCCATGTCATTTATGCCTTTCAATGTATTCTCACTGACAGAACCAGCCAGGGAAGCAAAGGAATTGTCTTCAAAAGCACCTGAAATGAGGGGCAAAATGAAAAATATTTTAAATTATTTCTTCTACTTCCTCTGCCATCTGAGATTAACCAGTTCAAACTGACCTATACAAAAAAGAAAAATCAAAGGACTTCTTTTTATTCCATTCTTCCACAAAATCCAAAGACAGTGGCAAAAGACTCTGTATTAATAAGCTCATAAGAAAATTACACAGAGTTAATAAGAACGAAGATGAATGCAATACTTCTGTCACATTTACTAGTTCTACACCTCCAGCTTGCTCTTCATGGACTTCCTTTACTGATAAGCATGTGCGTACACAGGTTTAAAAAACACTTTCACTAGTAATTGTAGGACCAACAGGTGTATATATAATGCAACTTTCCAAGAACAGGAGGTGAGTGAGAGCTGTACAGCTGCCAGTGTCACATCATGTATTCAAACACCTGACTCACAAAGATCACTTGAAAACTGCAACTTGCCCTGGAAGGAAAGTGCTAGACCTTGGGATTTTGCCAGTGCATGAAAAAGAGAACACAAGATACCTGTTACACCTAGTGGCAACCTGGGCACTTCATCCTCCTCCTCTTCCTCTTCTTTCTCTCCAGAGTCCTGCTTATCTCCATCTTCTACCTCTGCAGATTCATCCTCTTCTGTTTTCGCTTTTTTGGTTTCTGTATCTGAAATGTTATTTTACAGAAGACAAGGCAGTTAGAAATACAAAGGTAATGGTTATCATGAAAAGTTGTTCCAAAGACCGAATTTCCTTTAGTCTGTAAACTATGTAGAAAGATCGTTATTTCCCATGGGGTGGAAGGGGACTGGAGGAGAGACAAGGTTTTTGTGGAATCTTTTGTGGCACAGAGGAAAAAAAAAATCTCCAAGTTCCTTCCACACAGCCCATTTTGCATAGTGAAACAATGTAGCTTGATGTATATTGTGTGGAAGCAAGATAAACTGTCCTCAAACCAGTTACAAAATTCTTTCCCATCTGCAATGTAGATACGAAATTTCCCACACCTTTTGTGCTCAGGATATGTGAAAATTTCCATTTTAGGTACCTGAATCTTCAGAGACAAAAGCACATTGGCATAACCATGATGCATGTCCCAAAAATCAAATACACTTTTGAAGCTTCTATTCCTCATGCATGTCAATATGCGTCAATAGGTATCTATAAATCTATATATATAAAAACATATGCAAACCTAGCAATACTTGTGCAGTGCTTTTCGGGGGTTTTTTTGGTAGTTTTCCAGTGTACTTCAGTTTCATAATATATAAAGGTTGCCAAAGGCTGGGCATATTGCTAAAAAGCTGTATTGGCTGCATAGCCAAGGAGAGAGAGCCCTGAAATACAGGACATGTATTTAAATAATAATAAAGCAAAACATCCAATCAACGTTACAAAGAAGGATCCTATGTAACAAATAAATTGCCTACTAGTGTGAATTACAAATTCAAATACCACAGCTAGAATGAAATGGGTAAAGCTTTAGAACCTCCGGTACTTTAAAACGCACACCTGACCGGCACATGGCATTTCAGACCTTCCCCGACTCGGCAGGAGCACTAAGGAGGCGCTTGTGGGGCCTCCCAGACTAACCCAGCCCTGGGAGACACGCTGTCTTTGCTAAGAACACGCACCATCTCCCCCGTTGACCACTGCTTTTCTCTTTTTCTTCTTCTTTTTCTTCTTTTCCCCGCTGCGGGGTCCGGCTGCGTCCGCAGGCTCCGCTCCCTCCTCATCCGCTGCACCCACCTCTGGCACCGCCACCTCCTCCTCCTCCTCCGAGGGTCCCTGAGAAGCCGCCTCGCTCGGCGAGGGCACTGCGCGGCGGAGACAGAGACAGAAGGAGGACAGAGAGCACAAAGTTAATCACGGCTCTGCCGGCGCACAGCCAGGGAGAGGCTCCGCGGAGCCGCCGGCCCGTACCTGCCCCCTGGGCCGCCCGCAGCTTCAGATTGCGCTGCCGCAGCTTCAGGTTGCGCTTGTGGATCTTCCTGCGGAGCAGCCGCATGGGCAGGTTGCTGGCGGCAGCAGGCACCGACATCGCGGCAGCAGCGGGAACGCCGCGCTCCCGGCACACGTGGGGAGGCCGCGGCCGGAACCGCCGGACGCGCCGGAACCGCCGCCCGCCCCGCGGGGCCTCACGGGCACCGGGCAGCGCCCTCTGGGGGCCCGGCGGAGGCAGCGACGCGCGGAGCCCGCCCTCGATCTCTGGCCCGATCCCAGCCCCTGTCCTTATCTGTTCGCTGAGGAGGGAGCTCGCCGTGTCCCACACAGACCCCCAGCCCCCTGCGTCGCAACACCCGTCTGCCCAGTGGTGCTGCCTTCCACCCATGGTTACAAATGTTCAACGGGAGAAACAGACAGAATTAAAGAATCAGGTTGGAAAAGATCATCGAGTCCAACCTACGATCAAAATCACCACCTCACTACACCGTGGCACTGAGTGCCATGTCCAGGCTTTCCTTAAACACCTCCAGGGATGGTGACTCCAGCACCTCCCCGGGCAGTTCATTCCAACGTTTAATCATAATTTGTGAACAAATTCCTCCTAATATCCAACCTAAACATCCCCTGGTGCAGTTTGAGGCCATGTGCTCTGGTCCTGTCACTGTAGCCTGGGAGCAGAGCCCGACCCCCTGCTCCAGTCAGGGAGCTGTGGAGGATGTGGTTACTGCGCTGAAAAGAGAGAGAAAGGACAGCAACACACACGGAGCTCTTTGGGGGAAAAAGGCCAACTTTATTGTACGGACAGCCCGTATTTAAAGTATGTTACGTGCAGCTAGGACAGGACAGTAGTTAATTGGACAATTGGGAAAAACATCCTTGGGACAGTACCCCAGGATGTATCCCACGGGAAAGACACCAGGTGTTAATCTTTATTATGAATTCCACTTTGTTTTTCACCATGTTATCACCCTGGGAGACTCCTCCCTAACTGAAGCTGTAGCCAGGCTAAACACCCTCAGCTCCCTCAGCGCTGCTCATCAGACTCGTGCTCCAGCCCCTTCCCCAGCTCAGTGCCTTAGCCCGCACCCACTCCAGCCCCGCGGTGTCCGGGCACTGAGGGTCCCAGAGCTGCGCACAGCACTCGAGGTGTGGCATCACCAGTGCCCAATACAGGGGAAGGAAGAGTTCCTTCCCAGCTCCTTCCAAAGAGTGATTCCCGCAGGCGGACACTCGGCGCCCGCCGGCTGCTTCCCGACAGCAGAGGGCACAGGCAGCTCAGGGATGTGCCGCAGCTGAAACCAGAAACCAGAAACCAGCGCCTTCTGAGAGACCCGGGGCTACAAACCCAGTAAGCTTCAGCCCTAGATACAGAATAAACTGCGGAACTAATTCTGTATTAAGTAATTAAAGTAATTTTTCACCATCCGTAATTATTGTCTTGCACGGGTCGTTTGGATCGCCAGGATGAGAATTAAATTTATCTTGCCAGAGCTTCAGACTGTGAACCATGCCATCCTGTCTGGGCTTTCATAGACTGGATAACATGTCTGGCCACTGCTTTAATAAGCTGAATGGATTATTGCAATTTCCGTCAGCTGCATTTGAAACTAAACTGATCCGTCCTCAGCAAGAAAGGCTTTGGGTACAGACTCCAAACGAACTCAGTTTTACCTGCTTAATTTAAAGCAGGTGGAAGTTCCTTACTGCAGTTCAGTGTAATTTAGGTTCTGTGCATATTTTCTCCCTGACTACCTTATATTGAATTTGCAGAATGTATTTTTAAGCAGACATGGGTTTGCTCTTCCTAGTCTGTACTGATTTATGAGGATGTGACAAGGTTTACTCTTTGGATCCAGATTTAACCTGGGCAATGCATCTTTCTGAAATGTAGTAATTGTGCAGATAAAATGTATAAAGATCTGGACAGCAGGGAGCTGACAGTATTACACTGAGGGAGGGCAAAGTTATGTCCTTTGGGCATGGCATGGTCTCCATGTTCCCGTCTTAACCAGCAGTGCTAGGATCTTTTTTTTTTTTTTTTTCAGCCACATCATCACATCCCCAGCTCTGCCACGAATTGGGACTTGGAAACTCTGGTCAGGTGAAAAGCCTTTATAAAAGAACTCACCTCAGTGTCCATGCTGGGTTCTGGCTTACTTGGCAAGTCTTTATGAAATCACATTAATGTGGCACAAGGCCCACATTGACAAACTGTCCTGCAAGGTTATGTCAGATCCCACTGACCTGCTATGTCTGTTGGCTACAATCAGCTTGGCACACAAGGAAAACTTTATAGACAAAAGATGGTCCATGCGTCTGTATACACGGATGTCAGAGCATTCTGTAAAAGAGTTCAGAAATAGCAGATATTTTTTAGGTGGCAAATTACCATGAGCTCCAAAATTGCTTTCTCTCAATACCTTGTAAAACATGTTAGTTAGAGTTAACAAACAAATGTGCTTCTCTGGAAATTTCAAAACATGTTTTTCAGCTTCCTTCTTTTAGCATTTATTTCTATTTCTTCAAGCTATTACTGTGGAAAACCATAAAAAAAAAAAAAGACTCAGAAGATAATAATGATAATATTATTGTGACAGGTCTAGACAGTAATTTAAACCACTAACTCCTGCTAATAGCTTTTCTCTGAATTTTGGCATTTCTTAGATAGTGTATGAATCCCCTCTAGTACAAGTGTCATTTTTGTCCAATACTTTCATTCCTAATTGCTTGAGTTATCAGGCAGTCATTACTAACAATAGGATTTTCTCAAATGGTTATTGAGTTGTTGTCAAAATGTCTCAAATTTTCTGCACATGATCTTGCAGGAAGGTTTATAGGGAAGTATGTTTTGTGTGAGTAAAACCTTTATGGAACTGAATAAGTCCATATGAGATGCTCTGAATTTATTTCTGAAGATTAATGTTTCTAATGGGCTGCCATTGTCAGTATTTTATCTCCCAGAGTTAATTAATCCTTAAATTCAAATTCAGAATATTTGTGCCTAGTTACCATAAACTAACTTGTGTTGATTAAAATGTAACATAGAAGTAGTCAATGCTTTCAGTTGTATCATTTCAAGTAGAAGGTGGTAATTTATACAAAAGGCTCCAAAATCCCATCTAGAAAATATAGTGAAACAAAAATGTGTAGTCATTTTTAAATACAGGATTTTGGGTACAGAGCTGAATTAAAGAAGACAACTTTTATTTTCAGAAATCAGAATTTCCAAAATAATGCTTTTTTGATGTCTTAGGTTGGACATGAAGAAAAGCAACACTGATGCAATTTATGAACATCTGCAGCATTCAGCTAAATGTCCTGAACTAGAAAACTAAAGCTTTTATTGCTTGCAGCCACAAACTGGAAAATTGTTCAGAGCTGTTTTTAATTTTTAGTAGATTATTATTTTCCATGTTAGAGCAAATTTATCTGTCAGATAGTAATACAAAAGGGTTTGGTTTAAAATGAGATTTTTAAAAAATGTGTCTACCCTACCAATCTGTGTACATATGCAAATGATGGATACAAAGATATCTGAAGAAATAATAAATTCTTTAATTTAGTGGAGATATTTAATTCTGAAATATGGACTTGGACAGAGAAAAATTACCCAAACCTGAACTGATAGAAATGGCATAGATACAGATATATTCAGATACATCACATAGAGAATTAATGTCTTGATTTATAGAACATGTCAATGTTAATGTGAGTTAGAAATTGCTGTTAATGTGAGTTAGAAATTGCAATTACAAATCATGTCTTTGTAGGGTATCACTGAACCTGTGAGGGAATTCAAAGTATGGCTTACAAGGAGAGTAAGGTATTCATGTTTGGAAAAAGCAAGGTAGGCTATCACAATGACATCTTTTTAGGGGTTTTGTTTGATACTGCTGTCAGAAAATGTCTCCCTTGTGCCATATGGGAGTCTGGTCTCAGTTATAATTGACATCAGCAGCACTTTGTGGACATGGCAATAAAGCTGGATTCAAATCACATCTGTGACTTTTTTAGGCAATTTCTCGTTCAGCCTGTATTTTACAGCTGGAACTGAAACCATTGCAAGTGTTCTAATGCATGATCTCCTCCTTGACACACAGAGGACCAAAGTCCAGGAAATGCCACCTTGTATGAAATGCTGGAGTTCTTCCTTGCAGTAAGAGATTATTTTATAATTATCACCTACACACTGCAAACAAAAAAATCTTCAGGAAAAGAAGGTGTTATACACATTTTTATCCTCACAGAGGCAATGAGAGAACAAAAAATACATAATGCAAGAGAAGGGCACAGTTTGTAATGTATCACTGGCAGGCAGGATGGTACCATGAGGATAACTGGAGTGCAAAATTATGCATGGCACACAGTGAAGAGTTTAGATTATATTTTATTTTATTTTATTTATTTAATTTTATATTTATTTGCAGTTTGTGTCTGATATTTGCAATTTAAACTTACAAAATATTTTTGGGGTCCTCAGAAGCTGCTTTTCTGAATCAGATGAAATAATAATCAAATGTTTTCTGTTCTATTTTAGGAAGCTGTTTACAGTTGTTTGCTTCCCCTGTTCCACAAACCATAGCAGGTGTTGATAAATAGCCTGTTTTGCACATGATAGTAAGCTACAGCCACTTTAATTAAGACAACGTGTGAAGTCACAATATTATTTTTTTGCTTACAAAGATCCAATTTTTAACATTTTCCTGTTTTGAAAAAGTTTAGTGAAGGTTTCTCAAAATGCTGCAAAGGTTACAATTGGGATCAAGTGATTTATTAGCAGATTAATCAAACTGCAAGTGTAGCAACTAGTTTATAACTTACAGACTGACAGGTTCATAACCCTTAAAATAATAATTTTCTCAGTCATAAAAGGCATTCCTTTTACAGTGCCCTCATTAATTTAAAGAATCGTAGTAAATATATTACTGTCTCCTATTCAGAAGGAGCATTCATTTAAAATAGCTCTGTTCAAACGATATAAAATCATGATTAAACTCAAAGAGAATATGAAACGTGATACAGCAAGGGAAATATATAGGGTCAGCTAAAATTCTTTGCAGGTCTTTTGAAGATAAAATTTGAAGGTGAGGGATATTCTGGGTGTATAGCAGCTGGATGGAGGCTGATTAGTGGCAGTTTGTGGCTGGAATGAACACAAGATGTCACCCTCGCTGTGAGAGAACTCCAACACATAAATGCCTTTAGCTGAAGAGGAAAGAGAATAAGGATTGAGGGATTGAGGTTACTTTATTATTATTATTATTTTAAGTTGTCTATCACATTTGTTCCTTCATTTACCTGTCCTGGAACACTGCTTCACTGCAAAATTTTTTCCACCTTGCTGAGTATTTATAAGAAAATTCTCTCAAGTCATTTATCAGTTTTTTAATTGCTTTTTAAAGTAGGTTCTGAAATTTGGAATCAGATTTTACTTCCTTGAGTAGTAACCCTATGTTTCTTATACAGTTGGTGAAAAAGATGATGGAGAACAAAGTGCCATATATTTCTGAATTTTCTTCAATAACATTAACTTTCATACATTTACTTGGAAGTCCTAAAGCTTATAGAAAGAAGGATGGAATGGTAACTATTGTGAAAAACTTTCAGATAACATAATGAGCTTCCTAAAATGTGTTAATCTTTTTGTGCTGAAGAGTAATATTGTCTGTATGTAACAGTTTGAAATTCCCTTTACCTTTATTCTAAACAATACAAAATTCCTCCTTTGAGGAAGAAGAGGCTTAAAATCTTGAATTAAACAAAACATTGATTAAACAATGGTATTAGCATTCTTCTAATGATAATTTAACTCCTTGAGCTCAGGCCTCTGAATTCAGTAATGCAGACAGCATGCCCAGGTTCAAAGTGTCATTTATGCTTTAAATGTTTGTTTCCTAGAAGACATCCCAAATGTGGGACTTGTGAGGACAGACCTCCATATCTTGTTGAGTTGCAGATGCTCCTCTTACTTTGAGTGGTTGTTCTCATTTTGTTTATGGCATCCACACAGTGGGAATATCTTCATCAGCAAGGTAAGGATAGCCATACTTCTCCACTCCCACTGCCTGCTTGTGTTTAGATTGCAAGGCCTTGAAGAAAGAGCTACTTACAAGAAGTAATTTGCATGGGACTTAAAGAAACAGAGTCTATATTGGACAGAGAAGGCCCATGGGTATCAGGAAGCTCTGGGCACTATTGTAATATTGATCAAACAAAATGCATTCTTAACCACCAAAATCTAAATATTCAAGTGATAGTAAAATACTATTTTATTGCAAAATATGCATCTAGTGGGAACAAATTCTCATCAGCCTGAACAGAGGAGAAAACTAAATAGGGAACAGAGACCTTGTCAAATAATCTGTGGTACCTCCAGCTGGATGTCATTTTAGCCCATTCTTGAACACCTTAAAGAAAACATCAGAAGAGTTCATTCTCACATTTTCCTTGGAGTGGCTCATCCCTCCCTTGCCCAATATCATTATTATGCTTGTACATTCATAGTTTTACAGTAGTCTTCTGCTCTGCATAATTCTGCATGTCCTTAAACCCAGTGTAAGTCACTTCTACTTTTAAGTTTCTTTCAGATTGGCATTTAAAGGAGATTTAATATCTCTGAGAATGACAATGGTTGGTTCTTATCAACCATTATGTAATATTGCTTTTTTTGATTGAAAGTCAGCAGAAGATTGGAGAGTCAGCACTCCAGAAGGGAATGTTTAAGTAGCTTGTATTACTGGGCTCCCAGCTTTTATGGTCCAGGCCTTCATAAACTGTGTCAAGCTGTGATAGTTATAATTATTGCACACGTTGGCTTAACCTATATCGTGCAGTCATAATGCATTAGCCTTTCCAGCTTTCACTTGCCTGTCCTTTATTAACTGTGACATTTTCCCTTAAAGGTTCAGAGCAAGCATGACTTTATGATCAACCATAAGCTTTAACTAAACCGATTCTTTTTTCCCAAAGAAGACTGTTGTGGAAGAAGCCAGGAGATGGCAGTCTTTCTTAATGGATCATGGTTTAATCTGTTGGTGACTACAATTTCTGTTCTTGAGCTCCAGGATAGGCTAACATTTTAAAATGAGGTGAAGGAAGGGCCACATTTCTTATTTTGTTGGCATAGGAAGCCATTGCATG